GTATGCAAAACAGATTTCTTTACTGAAAGTAAATGTTGGTGTCATAGGCATAATGGCACCTGCTGTGCAGAAATAGCAGTAGTTTGGGCACTTGGAGGGGAAATATAGCAAAGATGCAAATGATGGAGTGGAGGTTATGGGTCTAATTGCTGGTGAAAGCCATTGGTTGAGCTACCGGCAGTGTGATAATAAGTAAGGACCAGGACATAGATATAAGTGCTGCTTCGTAGTGTGCTCCCAACAGTTTTGAAGCAAAGATACAGCTCTGAATTATGTTCTCAGCATTGTTTCTCATGTTAGGAAAAGCAGATGGTTGCCAAAGCAGTAGATGGAATGGAGAAGAGTTTAGCATCACCAGTTGTCTGGTATCTCTAATGAAATGAACAAGACAAAGGGTAGTCCTGGCAGCAAGTTGCCTGACAAAGCAGAGCTTCATATTGTAACATATCTGATGTCAGGGTTAAAGTTACAGTAAAATGCAATCTAATTTGAAAATGTGCCTGTTACAAGGGATAAAGTGGAAATTGTATTTGCTTAATTATTTCTGCACAATGGATGATGTAAAGGGTATCAGAGGAAGGATGTGTCATCTGTAATTGAACCAAATACTCAGGAATTATGAAAGGCCTACCTAGGAAATTCTGACTTTGGCTAGTGTGCCAGCTTTTCTTAAAAAGTGGAACGCAGCCACATTTATATGCCCAAATTCTTCAAATCAGTTTACCATAATGTATTTTGTTTCAGGAAACTTCAGTTGGTCCAGAATGATGAAGAAATCTGGCAGACTGGAGCATGTAATTCCACATACTCTGACCAATGATACTTATGAACAATGCAGAGAGATACTGTATTTTTTTAAAATTTTAAAAATTACACTGAAAAGTGCTGCATTTAAAGTATAGGCCTGTTTTGCCTCAGAAGAGCAGTTGCTGAAATCCCATATTATTTAGCTTTGTAAAAGAATGAAAGACTTTTTTGTAATCTTTTACTCATTTTCCTCAAATAAAAGTCACTACAGAGAAGAGATATTTCAACAAACCCTTCCCTTATACTTTATTGAAATTTTTCTGTGCAGTGAGTTTCTTTGAGTAAAATGCACAGGATTACAATTTATTCACACTTTGTTTCTTATTTTTTCTTATTACCTGTCATTAATTTGCAGTCATATGTTTACTCAAGTTAACCATATCATTAGTGGCAAAGGGAATTAAATAGAAAGAACTCATTGTTTGTAACTACCCTCTGGTTTTGCCGCAGCTGCCTATGCTGTCAGGTAGCTGTCAGGTTAGACTACTGCAGTACAGTTTATCTCATGGGCTACCTTTGAAGGCTGCTCAGGGACTGCAGTTGGCACATAATGTGACAACTAGGTTGTTATGCTCTGATCAGCAAATCTAGTTTTTATTTTTCTTTAAGGCAAAAAAACAAACTCTTGCCCATGTCTTGTTCTGAGTACAAAATAGTGATCTTAACGTGTGAAGCTCTAGACAGTAATTGAAATGGCATATGTTCTGCCGTAAAATCCTACCAGATGGGCGGGATATAAATCAAATAAATAAAAAAATAAATAAATACCTAATTGAAAAAAAAATCATTTTCTGAAGCCCTAGTTTAGGTCTTCTTGCCTTCACAAGGACAAAATGACCCCAGTGGTTGTAATAAAATTAAGCTCTAAGAGATGTTTGCTTGATACTATCGGCTCTTGTTATATTTGTTGGATTTTAAAGGTTTCATTTTTTCCCTGGCCTCTTAATTGGTGGTTGCTTCAGTTATTTTTGCTGCTGTTTTATATTAGACGTTATATTTTGGGTTTTGTTTTATTTGTGTTGCTAAAGGCCAGCATCCTATTATCTGTGGTCGCCAGCATTAACTCCAATGGCGTAACTTTCAGCAGTTAAGAAACAGGGACTTGTTTATCTTATCACAGAGCTGTTGTGTGACTTGGTCCAAGACCAAGACAAGGTAAGCAAGCAGTGACCTCTTCACTAGTGGCAGTTTGCTGCTGAAAATTATGTCATTCAAGCTATACTGGTGTTAGTATGCAGTAAGATTTCAGCCGTTGTGGTTGAGTTGCATTGGTTAGAGACAGAAAGGCAAAATAAAACTCTTTTAAATAAGCACCACAAAAGAATCTGCAGGGCTTGTGTGATCGGGTCTGGTCCCCTCTTCACCCTTTATTGTCTTGCCCACCACAAGCAACTCTTGGGCATTATTTGTTACTAACAAAGGTTCTTTTATTTTTGACAGCTTGTTACAGTATATTTAACATTAGTAACCAACTCAGCCTCTTGCTTCAGAGGCATCTTTTCAACTGCCTTATCATGACCTACCTCTCAACAGGTAGAGGCGTCAAACTGAACTCTTTATACTGATACTTATGTGGGATGCCCGACACTTTGGTTAACTAAGTGTTTAACTTTACTGGTGAGGGTGAGAAATTCATCCCACCTGAGGCTCCCAAACCTTCTTGCTCGGGTTCGGTCTCAATCTGGGCCGGAAGGGACTCGACTTGCCCCATAGGGTCTCCCAGGATTTTCAGAACATGCCTTATTCTCATATCTCTGTGCCTCTCTTTTCTGCCCCTCTCTGAATTTCTTCTGCTGTTCTTTCCTCAGTTTCACCCCAGTGAGGTGATTTGCCATATACCTTGCTTTTCCATTCCTTCTCTGCATATTCTCTAGGCACTTTAAACTCAGTCCATTCCCCAGTGCATGAATCTTCTTGCACTATTTCTACCCGGTCCTTCTCCCATTCCTCTTTTTCCTCTGTCACCCAAACAAGCCTCCATCTCTCCTAACTCCAACTGCCCCTCCTATCTTCTTCTCCTTTTATTTCTCCCTCTCTTCCTACCAAAATGTCACCCTCTGTTGGTCCCTTCTTTTCTGGATCTCTCTGTCCCTCCTCATTTAAGCACAGTCCTTTTAAGGTCTTTTCCAGTGCAGCCATCTTTCCCACCATATCTTCACTTGAGGGGGTTGATGGCACACTCTGAGGAGTGTCCCCTAGGGCTGGAGTCCCCAGATCTCCCACTCCCCAGCATGCACGCTCCCCCACGCATGCACACACACATGCATGATCCACCCATGCATGGACAAGGGATAAAACAGTTCTTAATTTATAACTAGGTATATTAAACATGCAATATTATTCTCATTCAAGTAGATGGAATTTTGTATCCAGTTAAAAAAAGGTTTAAAAGGCTCTCAGTTTATATCCATAACAGTTCATAACTCTTGTTATGAACAGTTATGGATATAAACTGTTCAGATATCCATAACTCTTGCCAGATAGCTGGATTGTGGTGCAGAAAGCATTTGTGGAATGACATGGATGCATGCATTGACATTTCTCTTATCGTTCCATGAACATAATTTTATCATGCTATTCCCAGGGGTGTCAGTGAGACTCTAGGGGGCTGATATTATAAAGACCACAAAAGAGGTCTTTCCACATTGCTAGATCAAGCCTTAGTCTGTAGGATTCTCTGTCATAATTAGATTTGGATATTGGATTTTGACTACAAAAACAGGCACAAACTGCAGAAGTCAAAAGTCAGCTTGCTTCAGTTGTTTGGACTTTTCTTACCTGTCCCATTGCCCTGAGGCTGGTTTACACAGACAGTGGTGCCTCGACTTACGAATTTAATCCGCTCTGGAATGGTGTTTGTAAGTCGAATCACCATTTCCCATTGAAACACATGGGAATGGGATTAATCCATTCCAGCATTTGAAAAAAACACAAAAAAAATTATGAAGCACACAGAAAGCCCCATCGGAAGGCGCTGAGGCTTAAAAAAAAACAACCAAAAATAAACAGAGGAAGCCCCAAAGGCTGCAACCCCCCCCCCAAAAAAAACCAAAAAATAAACATTGAGCAATCCCCACGAAAAACCCCCCAAAAACCAAAGCCCAAAAATAAACATTGAGCAATCCCCACGCTGGGATTGCAAAAAACAACAACAATCCCCCTCAGCCAAAACCCACCCAGAAGTTTCTACAAAGGAAAAAGCAGCATCTTACCAGGCAGGCCGAATCCTCGTTCGATGGCACTCAGTCCCCAGCAGGGAGCTGCCTCCTGCACCGCCGCTGCATGCTCTGTCCACGGAGGAGCCCCTCCAAGCCATGCGCCTCAGCCCAGCACCTTCAGCCCCCCTTATTCATGAGTAGACTCGCTTGGGGGATGGGCAGGGAGCATACTGGCTTCCTGTAAACCCCCCCCCCGGTGATCCGGAGCTGCCCCCCCTGCAGGAGTAAAAAATTTCCCTGATTCCCTGCTCTAACCATTGGGGCGAAAGAGCTACAAAGAAGCAGCCTCTTCGCCACCAACAGTTTGAATTTCCTGCCCTTTTCCCCCTGCCTTTTTCTGTTCTTACCTTGAAGCTCCACTCGCAGATTGAAGCAAAATTTCGTGAGCGGAGCTGTTCGTAAGTCGAAATGTTTGTGGGTAGGGGCGTTCGTAAGTTGAGGCACCACTGTACTGTGATTTTAGTCTAACACAGCCTCACATGTTCACACTGCAACTTCTGTACTATTCTCGCATAGAAGAGTTTTGGACATGATGGTAATGAAACACAGACTGACATTTTACTGCCTTATGCTACCCCAGCCTTTAAATTTTGAAATGGGGCAGTTGTGAAAGTTCTCTTTTTTTGAGACAGAGAAGTGAATGAAACAGGAAATTATGAGTGGTGCCTACTCCTCCTGCACCATTTATAACTGAAAGCCACTTAGAGAGGAGGAGGGAGCAAGTGTACAGATGAGGTATATAGGATTATGTACCTCCTGTTCATTAACTATTGTATTTTATAAACAATCTTCTCTAAATTGCACAAATCGAGGTTTAAGGAGTGCCTGATTAAAAGGATAACAAGTTTGATTTGAGTCCTCTTCAGCATTTGAAGCTGTTTTTCATTGGGATTTTTTAATCTTGTGAACTGTACAGAAATTTCAAGATTATAGGAAGACTCATTTTTATGTTCATTTTCCTTATCTCTTCTTCAGGCTGTGAAATTTGAGCCTTACCATGACAGTGCGTTAGCCCGGTTTCTTCTAAAGCGAGGCTTAAGAGTAAGTTGGTGGAGTTTTTTTTGAAACACTTAAATAATATGAAATTTCCCAGTATATGACTCCAGTAGAATCTGTTGAGGCACTGTTTCTCTTATTTTGGTGTACCCTCTCCCCTTGTCCTTTTAGAACAAAAGAATTGGCCACTTTTTGTTTTGGTTTTTGCGAAGTGAGATTGCACAGTCTATGCACTATCAGCAGAGATTTGCTGTGATCCTGGAAGCTTATCTGAGAGGCTGTGGGAAAGCAATGCTGCAAGACTTTCTGAAGCAAGTTCAAGTAATTGAGCTGCTGCAAAAAGTGACACTAGAGATAAAGTCACTTTCTGCTGACAAGTATGATGTCACTCCTCAAGGTATGTGCTGTTCTTATAATCCCATGTGCAACGTATTTAGATTTTATCATGGATTTTTTTTTTCAAATGAAAGGTAAATTACGAAGTCTGTGTTGCGTTTCCAACTTTTACAGGCAATACAGGTATAGTTTCAAAAACACGGACATGCAAGTAGATTAAAAACCAAAAATTTAAAATATTTTTTTAAAAAACTTTGAATAGTAGTAACATGCAAAACTACCCTTTATCAAGTTCTTTTTCTGACTAATAGTGGGACAGTCAACAATCCAAATGGACATGGCAGCCAAGAAATTGGAAGACTAAGACTTGGGAGGGTAGCAGTGAAGGAATTAGAAAAAATCATAAAATGTAAGGATGTAGCAGTAAAGACCAAGGCCAATGCCACCCATACTTCTGTATTTCTGTTTCTTATGTATGGGTGTGAAAGCTGTGAAGAAGAGTGATATGGGGGGGGGAGATTATTTTGAAATATGGTGGTGAAGATGAGCTTTGCAGATATCCTGGACTGTCAGAACAATAGGATGAACAAGTGGGTTGTAGATCAAATAAATCCTAAACTATTTCTGGAGATCAACATAACAGTACTGAGGCTGTCCTACTTTGGGCACATCATGAGAATGCAAGATTCTCTGGAAAAGGCAATAATGCTGGGAAAAGTTAAAGGCAGCAGGAAAGGAGGAAGAGTACATAGGAAATGGATTGACTCCCTAAAGGAACCCACAGGCTTGGGTTTACAGGACCTGAGCAGGGCTGTCGAGGACAGGACATTTTGGAGATCACTTATTCATAGGGACACCAGAAATCTGATGTGACTTGATGGCACATAACAACAGTGGCTCTGCAGAGATTTAGAAAAAGGTCTTCCCAATCACTTGGTACTTATGTAGAAAAGTGAAATTCAAATGATAATATAAATAACATTAAATAATGTTTTTAGCCTTTATTTCAGCATTTTCCCAAGAGCTTACTAATGTTTGGGAAGGACAATTGGTTTCCATGTTGATGTTTTTCTCATTTCTCTTAACCTGGGAGAGGATAGATGTTTTACCAAATGTCTGAACCTCCTCAAGGAACTGGTCACCATTTCTTAGGTAGGCAAAAAGCACAGAATATCCATACATGGATTGCACATACAACTATTTCTGCCTTTTACAGTCCAACACTGACAACAGAAGTTGACATCTTTGGCTCCCAACTTAGTCACCTAGTTTTGAAAAAAGCAGGAAGGGACTGCAGTTCTCCAAAGCTAGCCAGCCAATATTCCCTGCATCTGTGCAGTGTCCATGGTTGGTAGAATCGTTTTGACAGCTCCAAGGCTCAGCTACTGATGTAGGGTCTTCCTTTGTTCCATCACATCCTCTCCAGTTCTTCTGTGCTTCCCTGCAATAACAGAACTTCATGCATGTGTGACTGAGAGGGGCTTTGGTGCTACGAGGCCAAGGATGGTGCTGATAACAGCAATGGGCAACCAGAATAGGGACCACCATGTGGTCTAAATATTAATGCATTACTAAGTAATTAAGAAAGAGAAAATTTGTTGTTTGGGTCCTGATTATGTTCTGATGGATACCTTGCAGCTTTTTTAATCCTGAAGAAATAGATAGGTTTCTTGGAATATTCCCATTTGGTTTGTTTATTGGTACAGTACTAGAGTTAGTTGTTTTCCCCTCTGGGTTTTGGAGGCAGACTATCCTTCACTAAGACAAGATGTGATACCTGGAATCCAGAAGGAACTTGTGATTGGGGTGGGTGGGTGGAGGAATCAAACCTAATTCCAGATAATTAAAAAAAAAGGCAATATCCAGTGTTGATCCTACCTTACTTGGGCAAAACGTGTGAACGTGTGGTAGCATCCCAACTCCAGATATCTCTATTTAAAACACATTCATTTAGAGGCTTTCCTACCTGGATAGTGTTAAGAGCTACCACTTGAGAAACACACCTTGAGATCAGGAAGTAGTCCCTGCTGTTCTGTCAATTCTATGCAAAACTTAGTTGGGAGAAATCAAGACCTTTTTGGTATGGCATAAAAGTAATAAAATGCTCTCCAAGTAGGTGTTCATTATATCTTCTCTTTCTGTTTTTAGGCAGCATTCAAAGGCAATATTGTTGCCACAAGGATGTAATTGATCTGTTCTTTATGTGTATGGTCTGCTGTCTTAAATGTTGTTTTTATTAATACTACAGTATAGTGTGTTTGTTTAAATTTTCATTTGACTGACTGTAGTTGTTTATAGCACTGTTTTGAAGCTGCTTTGATTGTTTTCATATGAAAGCAGGATGACGTTAAAAAGTAAATGATTAACAATAACATTTTAATTGGGGGGAACCCCTAATTTTAAGATGTAATTGAGGTACCATGTTCGTTTTTCAACTGAGCAGTTACTATAGTAGCATCGAGAACAGACTTAGATTTCAGAAAAACCTCTGATAGACAAGATTGGATAAAGATGGAACTTCCCATTTAGCATGTCCACATTTCCTTCCTTTTACCCCTGCTCTGGTCAAACAAATTTTTGGAAACAAATGGAAATGAACAAACTTTAATTCAGGACATGAGAAAATAGGATGAATGCACATCATGAAAGCAATGAGTCCCCCTCTCACACTGCCATAAACCTACTCTAGGCTAATAATTTCTGACTTTTGAACTTTGTTTTGTTGATGTTGTTAATCTTCAGTCATCACTCAGCTCAAACAAAAGCTTGAGAAACTACAAGACAGCAAGTTTCCTGAATGCTTTAGAGTTCCATATGACCCTGGATTGAAAGCAGGAGCACTTGTGGTAAGTATTATTCCTCGTTTGTTAATGAATTTGGGTAGTTGAATGTCTCAAGAACTGGACACAATTTTGGGATGCTGACAAACAAAAGGCATGGTCTACTGAATCCTGAAGTATAGTAATACAATAATTTTTGAACTGCAGAGCTGGAAGGGACCTTATGGATCATCAAGTCCAGCCCCGCTCAAGGAAGACCAGTAGGGAATTTAACTCCTAACCTCTGGCTCCACAGCCAGAGATTTAAGCCACTGACTGAGCTATCCAGAAGTTCAATGCGGTAGTACAAAGCATCTTAAAGCAAACCAGGTGGCAGGTGTTTGTTTTTTTTAAGAAAAGGAACGCTTAGTGGTCTTTGGGAGCTTTGAAAAATTGATTGTCATTTGGGCAAAAGAACTGGGTGGTGGTAGAAAGCAAAACAAAGTGTGTTGTTTATGTACCACATCATAGTACTTACACCACTTTCTGAGTGAGCTCAAGTGCTCCTGTCTGGAAGTGAGGACATGCTGTTACATTGTGTTGCAGGTCCTTTGCTATTTGATCGTTTCTGTTTTCCTTTCTTCTAAAAATTTCTCAGACTGTATTGTTAAGCCTTTTTACTCAACACATAAAGAAGGGGATGTTCTAGCCCTGCTCTCAGTCCTCTAGTCATTTTGTTCACATGAAGGTGCACAACTGCTGGCTTGACTTTGCAGCTTTCATTTTGAAGCCTGGCGTAGACATCTAGCCATGATTTTTGAAACTCTTGCATTTTTTCTGCACTATCCACATATAAATGGTGCCCGCTCTGATGAAAGCCCATGCAAGCTGAAAGCTAGTAAGTATTTGTGATGTTTTAAGTGGTGTAATAGAGGTATCCTCTACCCTTGGCACTGGATTGTGTACAAAGACCATGTGCTGCCTCTCCCCGCTGCCCTTTGGTTGGTTTAAGTCTGAAGGAGAGCCTGTTCTATCTATGGGGTCTCACTATCCATGGGATCCACGATATGGGCAAAATCTGGCCCAGAGAATGCTTTAAGTACTATGTATTGAACTGCTGGATAGCTTGGTCAATAGAAGCTGAAACCTGCTAAATGCTAACAGAGCATAGGGCTAGACTGCTCTCCTCCATGTGGTTTAGGGCTTGATTGCTCTCCTCCATATGTTCGGTGAATAGATTGTTAAATAAATCTGAATTGGGCTAATATGCACATAATTAGTATTTCTGCTTGGTCAAATACTGCATGGAATAGTTAACCTTCCTTGACTTTACAAAATAGTTGGCACCTCTGGAACAAAGATGGTTTAAAAAAAGAAACTAAGGGAAATGGTATGTATGTAGTGCATGATTATTCTAATTGGGGATTCTGGGAGTTGTAGTCCAAAAAAGCTTTCACAAATCCTAGTTAGTGGCAGAAGTTTTAGTTCAAGTTCTTCTCACATCAGAGTCAAAAACATCTCTTTAATCTATTGATTTGGCGGAGTTGAAGCAGAATAGACTTCCTTTCTCAAGAAATCTCAACTCTTGTCAGCAAAGGCATAATTTTGCCCCCTTTTACACATTCTTTTAAGTTTACAGTAGTATTTCGGATCACTAAAAAGCGAATCACAAAGTTCATAATTCATGAAACCAGTAGGATGGAGCATTATGCCAGATCTTAAGATGCATTATGACTTCGCTGCTGCTGTTGTACCACAAAGTGCTACCCTCTTCTTCCTCCCACTGCAAGGCTTGATTCTCTTAAAGCCTAGTCCTCAGTATGTTGACTCAGAAATAAATTTCGCTACACCCAGTGAAAGTTAGCGTGTGGTTACATTAGCAACAGGGAGCAATCTAGTCTTGGTTGGCTTGGAATGGTGGGGTTGATTAGATTGCTTCTTCCGTTCACAAGGAAATCCCTTCTCCAGGCCTTGTAGTTGCAATCTAGTCAACCACGTGTTGGCATTAGATTGCTCCCTTTTAAGGTTAACAAACTCTACCCAGCCACAAGGACCAGTGATCACTCCACACAAAAGACCAGCTAACGACACCCATCAATCACAGTGACAGATCACCTCTTCCCCCTTATCCCACCAAAACACCCACAACAAAAACACACTCATAACCATAATCACCCAATCTCCTGAAAAGGACAAAAACTGATCCCACAGCTATAAATGCTCAACTATCCAACAAACTGCGCCAGAGCACAGTCAGAGTTCTGACTCCTGTCCTCTGAAGATGCCGGCCACAGAGACTGGCAAAACCTTAGGAAGAAAAACCTTAAGAACATGGCCAAACAGCCCGGAAAACCCACAACAACCAATTTTAAAAGCCTATTGCCACTTCAAAATACAATGGAAGGTGAGAAGAACATCCCCCATCCTCCCACTCTGACGTGATTTAGGCTGTCACACAACAAGAAAGTCATATTTATTTGGACCAATCATAATAACTCCAGATAGATAGCTGGCTCCAACCCTATACCAGTCTTGGATGGGTTGGAACACTCATTAGGGATGGATGGCTTGGAAGGCTCTAACAAGAGTGTCATGTAATCGGTGTTTCAGCAGGGGGCTACATATCAGAATAAACTCCCGTTTTGTTGGCCTCTTACTCTCTGATAAGCTCCTCGTAAATATGCTACATCACTAATGGGAGGTGGCACTGTGGGTTAAACTGCAGACGCTTCTGTGCTGTGTGGTCAGAAGACCAGCAATCATAAGATCGAATCCACGCGATGGAGTGAGCTCCCGCCAACCTAGCCATTCAAAAGCATGTAAATGCGGTTAGATAAATAGGTACCACCTCGATGGGAAAGTAACAGCGTTCCGTGTCTAGTTGCACTGGTCATGTGACCACGGAAACTGTCTACGGGCAAACGCTGGCTCTACGGCTTATAGACGGGGATGAACGCCACGCCCTAGAGTTGGACACGACTGGACTAAATGTCAAGGGGAACCTTTACCACTAATGGGAATAAATTTCAAAAAAGTCGCTACATAAGTCTGTCTCAGCATGCTCACAAAAGAAAAGAAAAGAAGGCACAATATTGTTGCATTTCAACAACTGACAATTTTATTTCAGTGTGAGCATTCATGGATCAGAATTCATTTCCTCAAATGCACTGTGTATTTACACACATCCCCATGACCTAGAGAAGATACAGATAATAGAAAAAATGACTACTGATTTGTAAGCATACAAATATGAGTGTCACTTTGTTAATTAGTTCAGTGAGCAGTTCCTGCCAAGGTGGTGGACTTCACTGTCACAAGAATGCTAACAAATGTTTCTGGGACACAGGTCATCATGTCTGCCAACATGAATAACTATTTTGTACCGATAAGATATTACAGAAAGCTGCATTACATGTACTGCACCAGGAAGCCTGTTGAGGTCCTTAGAGATGGACTAGAAATTCATTATGTAACCAGTTTCTAAGAGCCTCAGTAGAGATCCTAGTAATAACACTGGGACAAATTGAAGACAGCAGGAAAAGAGGAGGGCAAAATAGTAGGTGGATTGAGAGTTTCTTATCTTTCATTTTATTTTTAAAAGACATACTTTTTTATTCTTTAAAGAGTATGCTCTGGATGTAGGAAATATATGAATGTATCTCTTGCAGATAGAAAAATGTAAAGTAATGGCATCCAAGAAAAAACCACTTTGGCTGGAATTCAAATGTGCAGACCCTACATCAGTATCCAGTGAAACCATTGGCATCATCTTCAAACACGGAGACGACCTGCGGCAGGACATGCTTATTTTGCAGGTATTTTCTGTGTGGTGAATTATTGAAAACCAAGTGAATTTTTCAAGAACCACACTTGTTGGTTCATACTGAACAATACATGTAAACATGGCATTTTTCTGTGAAAGCCTGCTATTTCCTCCTTTTCTTGCATGGACTGTGACCACACTCCCATAAGATGACATATTCCATGCATCTCTTCACTGGGCTTTTTCACAAACAGGTCTAAAAGACAGTGAGGATGTTTAATTCGAGAAGGCTCATTCCAGCCTTTCTTTTGAAGCACACCTGTCTCATATGGAGTAATAAAGATTGTATGGGTACATATATAGAGGTTTTTATATCAACTTTACATTACTGAAATGTATTCTGAATTCCTCTTGAAGAGTTTCTTGGTAAGGTTATTTCTTCCAGTTTGTTAAAGTGAAAGATATGGGCAGAATCCTCTTGGGAACTGCAGTGTGTAATCGCTGTGTGGATGTAGTGGTCTGTTCTGTCTCCATTTTGGTGTTTTGTAAGCCAGATAGTACCCCCTTCAAAACAGGACTTGAAGGGGGTATTGAATGCTCGTCACCCAAACAGTAGGGAAGGAGGAACTGTATATAGTTATGCATATGGCAAAAACAAGCAGGATTTGGACTATTTTTATAACTTCAAAAAGAAAATTTATGTCAATAATTATGGCCACATACCTGTCTATCTATTTCACTTGTTTTTACTAGATTCTTCGAATAATGGAATCAATCTGGGAAGAAGAATCATTGGATTTATGTTTGTTGCCATATGGTTGCATTTCTACAGGAAACAAAATAGGTAATGCACATTAAAGTATCTGGGATTGAAAATTCCAGCTACAGTGACATATTGAAATTATTTGTTTTACAGTCTGGTTCTCTTCTGTTACATGCCACTCAACTTGTGATGGCATTCTAGACAGAGGACTATGTCTAAAAGAAATAAAGAAAAAATATTTCACGAAACCTATCAACTTTGATTAGTCTTGTGTACCGTCCTCTACATCTTCTGGATAGATCGTCCATTACTGATCTGTGACTTGGACACCAGTTTAACCATGTATTTTTGGCCAAATGCACAAATGAATGTCCTACATAAAGGGTAGGGAGCCTTTGGCTATGCAGATGTGTTTGTCTGCAACTCCCATCCGCTCTGTCCACCATGGCCAGTTAGTTATAAGGGGCTGTGCACGTTGTTGTCCAAAACATTCAGAAGGCCAGATGTTCCCCACATCTGTCCTACACAGAAGTCTCTTCTCATGAGGAGACACGATGAGTTTTATAATAATCTTGCAGCATTTAAAGCTACTTGGATATTGTGCTTTAAGGTGCCAGAAATATCCTTAGTGCCATCTGATTCTAGAGGTACTTGGATCAGTTTCATTTCTGGTAGAGAAATGAAACTTTTCCCCTAGCTATGCCTCCATCAGTACTTATATTGTACAATTGCAGACCAAAAATTGGGATATACTGGCTATTGCTCATGAAATAATCTGATGGTACACACTTCTTTTTTTCCCTATCCTGATCAGCTTCATTTAAATTGCTAAGACAGAAAGAATGCTGTATACAAACTCTGGTAGTAAGAATGTTATTGTCATCCTTTTCTGTATAGGAATGATTGAAATTGTAAAAGATGCTACTACGATTGCCAAAATCCAGCAGAGCACTGTTGGAAACACTGGAGCATTTAAGGATGAAATACTAAACCAGTGGTTAAAAGAGAAGTGTGTAATTGAAGAAAAGGTGAATATTCCTAATTTTCATCTATGATACAATAGTTTTGGCTAAGGTTGAATGTCATGGCATGTGTGAAGTCCTCACAGCAGCAGTTCTGCTTCAACAGAAGCTCTTAAGCGTTCAGTTGAAATGTCTAATGGGAAGGCTTCTGTTTTTCTTTCTGCTGTTCTGCTGAATATGCCATGTATCAAGGCCAAGAATCTTTTAAAAATCATTGGTTGCATTTCCTTGGCAACAGAAGGTGGTGCCAGGACTCTGGTTGGGCAGTGCTGGGGCCAGAAGTGGGGTGGGTCAAAGGCTAAATGGGGCAGGGAGCTCATTCTCTGTCCATGTCTATGCAAACAACATCCTTTTCTCCTGCTCCCATCCTTGGGGTGATGGACTGGGCTGCAAAGGAAAGGTAGTAGCCCAGTTGGAAAGCTGCCACAGGCTGTATATCTGATGGAGTCACCCCAGCCCTTTGTTGTATGTTAGTAGTATTAGGGAAAACAACCACTTGCTGCAAGCTTTGCTACCTTTTAATGCTCTGTACTTGTTCTAGATCAGTGGGTTTTTTAAAAAAAGCATGTGGTCTTTTTTAAAAATCTGATGTGTGACGTGATAAATGCTTAATATTTTCTTTTGCTTGCTTTATTGATGTTTCCATCCTGTTCAGTGATTTGTAAAATGGCCATAACAACAAATATACAAGAACATCAAGCTTCTTAAGTAAGGAAAATACTAGAAACTGTAGATTATCCAATTAGAACCCATATATAGGACAGACATTCTTTAGACATGTCTCTCATATATGTGAGTAAGCTTATTAAGCTGCCTACACCCACATGGTAAATTGCCTGATGGTTTCATACAAGTCTTTGAAAACAAGTTTTTATGTAATCTATTATTGATTACCAGTCATGAAAAAAGGAGCATTATGTTCTTGTGTTTGTCAAATTTGGTACCAACCTCCCCCCCAATGTCCTTACAGCTGCTTTCTATTAGTTTCAGGCAGCTGTGGAAAGATTTGTGTACTCTTGTGCTGGTTACTGTGTGGCAACCTTTGTACTTGGAATAGGTGACAGACATAATGACAACATTATGATTACTGAAGCTGGTGAGTACTAATAAGGATGATGATTGTGACTTAAGTGATAGCTGTTTCAAGTTAAAGTCAGAGGTTTGTCTAAATCATTGTTCTTTACATGCATGTGTTGATTGTGTCCAAAGAATTCTACGTAAATGCTACAATTTTGATCATGTTAAAGAAAGAAATATGACCTGAATCTATCCAGTAGAGAAAAGCTGTTAATGAATGGGTGAAAGATGAAAAACACCTTGGGGGAAAACTATCGTTAAATGACAGTGCTGTGAAGGCAGGTGCAGGAACACCCACAGCATGTTTTTGGACATTCCAATACATGTGGCATAGCTCTTAACACCAGCAAAGTGTGTCAGCCAATTGAGCCAATATTAGCCATCACCCACCACTAAGACAGGTTGCATGCTTCTTTTTCTTCATCCTACACTTTACTGAAAGAGAGAGAGAGAGAATTAATTCACAGGGCTTTAAAAATCAGTTGCATTAACTGCTCTGAAACTGCAAAATGAGGTAAATTGTGGTGTTTCTCACCTCTCCCCCCCCCCCAAGTTGAAGCTGAATTACTCAAAAGGTTTTTTCCAAAGATCATCCCTACAGGAATAAAAGTGTACATTTCTTTACAAGAGTGTTGAAACCACTATCCATATCTATTCACTACTAGTCTTAGAATACAGTATCTATCTTCAGTTTTTTGAGATCCCTAAAAACAAGAAGAGGATGAAATCATAAAGTGTACTTGTTAAGTTATAGAAAAGCTATTTTTGTCAAAACTAGAGATCCAGTTCTCCTTCATGGATTGCTGTAATACAGTATCTATCTTCAGTTTTTTGAGATCCCTAAAAACAAGAAGAGGATGAAATCATAAAGTGTACTTGTTAAGTTATAGAAAAGCTATTTTTGTCAAAACTAGAGATCCAGTTCTCCTTCATGGATTGCTGCCTTGTTGTGGTGAAGGGGCTTCAGTAATCCAGAGAAGCTACGTACGGGCTATGCCATGCAGGGACACCCAAGACAGACAGGCCATAATGGAGAGTTCCAACTAAACTCAATCCACCTGGAGTAGGAATTGGCAAGCCACTCTTGTA